CCATCACTGGTGCTGCTACTTTGTCCTGTATTCACGCTTCTATTGTTGTATCCTCCTCTATATCCTCTGTGAGTTCCTCGTCGTCCGCCTCCATATCCGCGTCCTCTACCACGACCATGACCACGACGTGCTAACTTAGGACAATCCCTCCTGTAGTGTCCTGGGCGGTTGCATTCAAAGCAGTTATCATTATTCCTGGACCCATCTTGGTGTTGATTTGATCGAGAACTGAACGTATGAGCTTCTTGTTCGCTCTGTTTTCTTTTCATTTCAAGTAGTAATTTGGACTTCACGTACTCCACTGTCCGATCCTTTGTCGGCATCGCATCAACAATATTTACAATATGTGCAAAACTCTCAGGTAATGCAAGCAATAAATAGTTCAGTCTATCCTCTTCCGACACGACTTCTCCAGCATTTTTCAATTCATTGATTTGTTTTTCAAATGTTTGTATGAATTCTAGTATATCGTCGCCATCTTTGAATTTTGTTTCTAGTACTTTCCTTTTAATTAATAATTTATTAGCACTGCCTTTTACTAAATACATCTCGTCAAATTTTTTAATCATCCCGTAAGCCGTACTTTCATTCATTATTATATCGAGCTGAGTATTATTTACGCTATTCACTATAATATTTCTAGCCTTTAAATCAATTTTTCTCCATTCTGTGTCTGTCACACCTTCATGTTTTATATCATTTTCCACAGCTTCTTGGCATTCCTTCATTTGTAACAACAACTTTAATCTAAATTTCCATTTTTCGTAATTTGCACCATCAAATATCTGAATGCCTACTTCTCCTATCTTTACTTCCATTTTCGGTACCTTACTTCTTCAATTGTTTCGGTACTGACCTTGTCAAATAATTTCCACTTATCTTCCTCTTTCTATTTATTTTATTCAACAACGCTCCTTTGCTACCATGTTGAGGAAGTGGATCGTAGAAAGGAAAGACAATCAGCTCGTAATATTTAGTTTATGTAGTCCCAATCACATTACATTTTATTATAGGTATAGACCGTTGACGTATTTAGCAAAGTCCTAGAATGAAGTAACGGTGACATAGAGAACAGGCCATCGAGTCGCGCTAACAAGAAGGTTTTACATAAAATCATAACTTCAACAGTACTTACCGAATGGTAACAACAAGTCTTTCTTCTGGAAGGATTGGTTGTTTATGCCAATTGCCCCAATTTTTCACTAAATCCAAAATGTAATAAAATGTTTCTTGAATCATTCTTGTGTATGTATAAAATCTTTGTTCATCAAATTTAATTGTTTTTTACAAATAAATGATGGTATTCTCCGAAACGTTTCCTTTCTCTATTTATAGGATGTATAGCTGTTTTTCGCATTTTCAAATAAATATTTTCTAACAAAACCAAATCATCGTCCGATGAGTCCGACATTTTGCTTGATCTGCTTTAATCGGCTTCCTTTATGTAGGAAGGATCGGCGCCGATCGGCTTTCGGCTTTCTTTCTGTATACGGCCTAAGGCCGATTAAAGCAGATCAAGCAAAATGTCGGACTCATCGGACGATGATTTGGTTTTGTTAGAAAATGTTTATTTAAAAATGCGAAAAACAGCTTTACATCCTTTAAATAGAGAAAGGAAACGTGTCGGAGAATACCATCATTTATTTGTAAAAAAAAAAATTTGATGAACAGAGATTTTATACATATACAAGAATGATTCAAGAAACATTTTATTACATTTTGGATTTAGTGAAAAACCGTTTGATGAAAAATTGGGGCAATTGGCATAAACAACCAATCCTCCCAGAAGAAAGACTTGTTGTCACCATTCGATAAGTACGAAACAAATAATTTTTGCGCTTAGTTAATAAAAGATAAAGTTATTAGATTTATAAAAAGATTATAACTTAGATTGATTTAATCTAAGGAAAATAATTCAAATACAAATTATTTATTATTCGGACCAGCGCGAGTCGGCGCTTATCGGCGCCGATCGGCGCCGGTCCATAGAAAAAGGATCAGCGCCTATAGGCGCCGATCGGCTTTCGGCTTTCTTTCTGTATACGGCCTTAGCGTCCACACCACCCAATTTGATTCGGCAATCCCAAATCGGGCGATACCGACCATCCAATGACCTTCAATTTCATATTTCCGTCCACACAACACAATTCGATTGTTAATCTAATCAAATTGGACTTAAAATTGTATCGTGTGGAAGCCACTTTACAAATATACGCCTGATTGTTCTATGGTTGTATGACAAGATTGACTTGTATCGGTAAAACGGGAAGAGTGAGAAATACAGAACAGAGGCCACTGTTTTTGGAGACATCACACCATAGATTTATTAAACTGCCAATAATATAGAAATTGTGCTCATCAAGGAAATTTTTTATGCGTTACGGTTTATCTCGCAGGATTATATCAAACATTGGTGTCAATTCTGACACAATTCTGTAAACCTAAACTTAAATTTGACAACAGTATGCTTGTCATTCCCTATACGGAATGAAAAGGAGAGATTGATGTTAAATTTAGTTTTAAGTTTAGAGAATCGAGCCAGAATCGATACCAATGGCGTTCAATTTATATCGTCAGTGATTCGCCTATGCATGACAATATTAAGTATCAAGCAAAATTTTGTTCCCTATACGAAAAAACCGCGACCTTAAAACGATGCTAGCACACCTTGTGGAAAAAGACCACACTCCAAAGACGTTGCCGGAGTAGTTGCCGGTGATGCGTTTTGCCCTGAATAATGCCAGATGTCGTACTACAGGAGTATCACCAGCTTTTTTATCCTTTGGTAGAGAAATGCGATCACACACATGTTACTTACTCACAACATTTTAAAAGGGTGCTCTGCTCCTATAGGTCGTGCTGTTATATAGACTATAGCCTTCCTCGATAAATACACTATCCAACATAAAAAAATCTTTCAACCGATTTGAACCAGTTGTGATAAAAATATTTTTAATAAAAAATTAAAAGATGGTGCCACAATCTTCTAATTATTAGGATTCGTCTGCGGCTAATTTGTGGCAAATTCTGAGCTATATAATTAGTATGTAGCTCGATATTTTCATGGTTTTTCAGTGAAAGTCGTCCTAAGGGTACGGCCAGAGTGCACTCAGATTCAGATTCAGACTCAGAAAACAAGTGCGAGAAATATACAGTGTAGTTTAAGCAGGTTGCCTGCTGCCACTATGGCCACCCAGTTTTAACTACACTGTTTATTTCTCGCGCTTGTTTTCTGAGTCTGAATCTGACTCTGAGTGCACTCTGGCCATACCCTAACTTCATAACTTAGTACGTCAATTGATAAAAAAAATATCGCGCGGCAATTTTTTGTTTACGCGGAGGGAAGATGCATATATGATATTTACGAAAATTTTATGATTAAAATGTTAAAAAAATATAAAAGAAATGCCACTGCAACGTTTTTATTTTACATAATGTTGTTATTTAACAATTATTACGAATTAAAAATACTTGAAACAGAACGTATTTGAAAACACCAATCAGCGTTTAGTGACGTCACTCCTGTTATGACAACTTCTCTGAGGTTATGGTTGTTAAAGTAAATATTATTTTATGGGAATATTAATTGCGTTTTTTTACATTTAATAAAAATGGAAGTTGCGTTTATCAAAGCAGACTTCAGGAATTTACCAAGAGTTAGTGTGGACATGGTTATAATTTTTTTTGTCCAAAGTGCAGAGTTTTTAAGTGTAGAAATGAAAGGGACTAAATTACTACGGTATGTAAAAATCGTAGTTGGTAAACTTCGTATTTTATTCAGCGGCTTCTTCAAATCTTACGGCGATAATGCAATCGGCTATGTCCAAATTAAAAGAGATGGAGAATTAGGTACATTAAAAGGTCGAGTTCTCCGGAGCATAAAGTACGTAAAGAAGGTTATCGTGTTACAGTTATTTAAAAGGAAACGCAAAGCTTGGTTCAGTCCTGCCAATGTGAAGATTGTGCCACACATTTTAAAGTTTATCTAATTTTCGACGTCATTCTCCAACTGTAAAATTAAAAATATGTTATAGACGGGTTTTGTAAGTATTAGGTAGGTTACGAATGCGTTTTTACGTACAAGCAGATTAATTAAGCATATAACAAGTATATTCGCCGAATTACGTCAAAGTGATCTTCACAGCATCGAATAATGGTCTTTGGAGAATAATTGTCATTTCTGTTCGCAGCTTGAAACCACTTTTTTTTCAGTTTTGGGTCAGAAGCTCCAGTCAAAAACAATTTATTTGGAAACTTTGTTGAAGTAGATTGGCACAAAACATGAGTCAACACGGCTTTTTTCGGAATATTAGTGGTATTGTTATGATCACATGATGTTGATGGATAGTCCATTTTTTTTCAAAAAAAAATTTCGAAAGTCGAAAAATTATGCAAAAGTATGAAAATTTAAAGCCAGCGACGAACAAGTACGACCAGTGACAGACAGGAGTGACGTCATCGCAACCATAGGTTCGTTTTCACGCGTAAATTTAAATTGTCAATTTAAAACCGCATTTTTTCCGATAAATCACAATGTTTTAATTTTTTAATATATCTGTGGTTTATTCTACATGGAATTCTTTAAAATGAAAACAAAAATAAAAATATTGCATCTTCCCTAATTTCGCCACATTGTGGATTGTGGAATCGCATGAAGTGGTCTTGCTATCTACATGCACGGCAAATGTCTTGAAATGAAGGGTACGCAGGGTGCATGTGACGTGCGAGCGCTGTGTTAAATGGGATGGAGTGGCCCCGACCGTGGCCGCAGAACGCGTCTTTCTGTGAGACACTATATAGTTAGTCTTTCTATGGAAAATAAAAGTTATGTTTTCTTCTAAGACAGCTGTGACATTTAAGGGCTTAAATAAAAACCGTTATAGGGATAAAATAATAATTTGTTTATTTAGGGTTAAAGATTACTGATGGATAATACTTTAACTTTAATTTATAAAATAGATAACAAGGCCGTTAACGATTTTAAGTTTCGAACAAATCCGTCACGATCTTTTTGCACGCCAATCTAAAAACTCATCTATGTTATCATCATTGTTAGAATCAGAGTCTTCTTGCTCACTCATTTGCTCTGCCTCTTGCCTTTGCTTTTTTGTTTCTTCTTTTTTAACTTCTAAGTCCAGAACTCTGAAAAACGATAACATATTAGAACACTCAACATTTCTTACAAAGCGAGATAGGATAGGTAAACGGCACCCTTTGCCTTACTTGACTTAATGCCAAATCTACCGTGTCGGAATACGCAGGAGCGTTTAATTTTTATTTCACGTTATGTTATAATAAGGCAGTTTATTTTTTTTATCTACACCTATGCTTAAAATCCTCTTTAAAAGGTTCTGAAACAGTAAGTTTATTGCCAACATTAAAACTACCGTCCTATTTATTAAAAAAAAAACATAATGGTGTATGTACAGTTGAACCAAGATCTTGTGGCACTTTTATGACATTGTCAGGACTGTTGGTGAAACAAGGATAAAATAGGTACGTAAAATCTCCTTACTTATGGAACTTAATAATTTACAATAACTCGGAAATAGTAATAGGAAATATAAAAGGCTTATTTACACTTTCCCATATAAAAAAAAGGGTTAATGTCTAAAATTTGTTGCAATTTCGGCCACGCGCCACAAGGTATTGGTCGCACTTTTCTCACATTAACATTCATTCGCTTTTTCGATCCCTTCCGCGCAATTTTTTTTTGATTGTGGTCGCAGTTGTCCTTTACAGCGTCACCGGGTATTCCGCGCAAAGTTCACATTCTCAGTGCTCGATGCGTGATCTTTAGTATTTGTATGAATAAAAAAAATAACATTGACATTCGTGCGCGTTTCGCTACCACAGCGCCGCGCCGTAAAAAAGTTATTCTAATTCCCGAAATATTCCTTCGATATTTAGGTGTGCACAAAGCTTTGTTTTGTTAGTAAATATGAGCGATTCAAGATTTGATATCACATCACCAGCAAGAGACATATGGCAATGAGGCAGCTGCGTAAGAAATAAACAGAACTATTATATCAACCTCCCTGTCACAAAAGTTATAATTATATCAACGGAATGTACCTATCTAATATGAGCATATTAATTTAAAATTTATTACCAGACAATTTAAAAACGCAAAAGGGGCTTATAATAATGGTGGATTATTAACCACTAAGTGGTTAATAATCCACCATTATTAGACACTAACATTCATAACGCGCCCGCGGCCAACTTCATGGTGTTACTATTGTGTTACAGTGATGCGCGCGCATCTTAAAATTTCACTCTCATCATTTTTTCATAACGCGCCTGCGGCTAACTACATTATGTTACTTTTGTGTTACAGTGATGCGCGCGCATCTTAAAATTTCACTCTCATAATTTTTTCATAACACGGCTAAAGAAGTATAACTTCAAAAAGACCTCTTTGTATACTATGTTTGTGCAAATAACATATTTGATTGATTGATTGGTAATAATTACTGCCAGATAAATCAAGAAAACAGTATGAAAAAGCAAACCAAAATTTCATGAATTGGAAAATATAAAAGGGTAATACATACATGATATGAATCCTCTGTATGTTATATTGGAAAATATAACATATAGAGGATTCATATCATGGGTGTAAATGAAATCTTGTATGCACCTTTTTATAATTAACTATTATTTTATTATGGATGGTAAAAATAATGCATCTAATAGTTTGATTGTGCTTCTGCAATTCATTCACACCACCTTGCACAATCTTTCCTTCGTCCTATTTCATTACCAATATGCACAGGATTGTCCATAACAAAATTATATCTGAAATATAAATCAGCTTATACTTACTTGCTCCAATTTCTAATTTGCTCGTCGATTTCATCGATCTGTCTTTCCACAGTAGCTTCTTCTTGCTCACCAGCTATTATTTCTGCAGATGCACTCGCTTCTTCCTTTATCTCTTTTTGAAATTTTTCCCATTCCTCTTCAACAGGGTCTTTGTATTCAATATTTCTAACCTGAAATGAAGGCCTAGTCAGTAAAATTTTGAAGTTTTATATTCAGACCCGATTGTGTACGTAACATGAGCATTATGAGTCTATTATTTTGTAGGATGATTAAAAGACGGAATGTATCTGCATCCTTTTTTTTTTTTTTTTTTTATAGTAGGAAATGCTTTATGCATACCCAGCAACGATATGGGGCCGACTCCAGGGTTCTGATTACCCACTAAAACCTACTGTACTCTTCATGTGCTTATTATCTACTGCACGAGAAAGCGCAATAGCGCAGGCGTTCGCACAGCGGACAGCACTTGGCCTCGCAGGCCTCCACGGGAAAAGAAGTTGCCCATCGAGTACTCATGGGCAACTCCTCAGCGCCAGGGCGGAATGGTGATGATGGTGGATGCTAGAGCCCCATTCTAGCACCCACCGCCCCGACTCGGCGGTTGGAGAGCGGCATATTGGCGCCTCCGTCGCCCGACTCTTCGCTTGCGGATTGGGTCTGCAGAGGGATCCTCCTCTCGAGCCCTTTCCGCGGCCTCCCTCTGTAACATTATCTGCTCGCAGAAGGAGGCGACCGCCTCCCAGGACGTCGCGCTGTCGACCATAGCTCTCACCAGAGTCGGCAGCGAGAGGTCCCGCCCCACAACAGCGACGAGCTGGCGCCGTTCAGCGTCAAAAGCCCCACAAGCCTCTAAAGCATGTTGCGCCGTGTCGTCACTAGCCCCGCACTGATGACAGCGGGTATCCGGCTCTCTTCCGATCCTGTGCAGGTAGTGGCCGAAAGCCCCATGGGCAGTCATCACCTGCACAAGTCGGAAAGATAAGGAGCCGTGTCGCCGGGTCATCCATTCGACCAGGTAAGGCCGGATTCCCGTTATTGTCCAGTGGCCTGCGGTGGGAGTCTGCAACCTCTGCAGCCATTCCTGCATTATGGCGCTCTGGGCCCTCTCGCGCCATCGCCGTATTATCTCGGGCGCCGGGCGTAAACCATCTCTACGGACTTCTGCTGACAACCTGTAGACTTGTGCCAATGCTTTGGCGTCTAGGTCCCAGGGGGCGGTTCCTGCGATTACGTACGCAGCCTCATACGATACAGTGTGGTATGCGCGTATGACCCTGTTTGCCAGCACCCTCTGCGGTCTTCGCAGAAGAGTTTTGGCTTCGATAGACAGGGCCTCCGCCCACACAGGCGCACCGTATAAGGCCATAGACCGTACAACCCCAGTGTAAAGGCGTCGGCAGGTCGAACTCGGTCCGCCCAGGTTTGGGAGGAGTCTGGCTAGGGCACCAGCCGTCGATAATAACTTTGGGCACAGGCGCGTGAAGTGCTGTGTAAAGTTCCACCGCGACTCTAAGGTAAGGCCGAGATACCGCATTTGCGCACTGACGGGTATACGCACACCATTAATGTCCAGGTAAGCACCCCGGGGAGGCCTCGTGCCAGGCCTGCAAAAATACATCGCCTCCGTTTTTTCGATTGCGACGCGTAATCCAAGGCTCTGTATTCTCCGGATCACGCGTCCAACGCCCGAATTGGCCAGCAACAAAGCATTTCTAAAATTGCTGGCTCTGACTAAAACTAGGGTGTCGACATTGACACCCGGTAAACGAGCACCCCGCAGGGCGTAATTGTACCCAATATTCCACAGGGTTGGGCCTAGAACCGACCCCTGTGGAACACCGCACGTCGCTTCTCTCGTTACGACCAGTCCCTTCTTGTCTATACAGCAGATGCTCCGGTTTCTGAGGTAGTCATAAATAAGCCGTCTGAGATAGACAGGCACCTCATGGAACCGGGGCCACTCCTCTATGCAGCTAAAGGGGAGGGTGTTGAATGCATTGGAGATATCCAGCGACACGGCAATCAACACCCTGCCCAATCCGGTAGCCTCCTCCGAGAGGGCCCTCACTTTCAAGATGGCGTCTACGGTGGATCTGCCCTCCCGGAAACCGTATTGGTCATCGGAGAGATCCGGCCCCACCTCACTCAAATGACAATTTATTCTTCTGGCGATAATTCGCTCCATTAGCTTCCCTGCTTCGTCCAAGAGGACTATTGGACGGTAGGCCGATGGGCTGTCAGGCGGCTTATCTGGCTTTCTCAGCAGGACGAGGCGACCTTCCTTCCACACACCTGGGAACTTGCCAGAGGTCATGCACGACTCAAACAATGCGCGAAGTTTGACTCCCAGAGACTCCAGGGACAGAGCTAGCATTCGGCCAGGGATGCCATCAGGGCCTGGGGCTGTATTTTTGGCCTTTAGCTTGGCGACCGCTGCAGAGAATTCTCCGTCCGTAATGAGGGGAGGCGATCTCTCCTGATCATCATCGGCCCTGCGCCTTCCAAAAATCATTTCTGGCGGGGAAAACTCCCCGCTGTCTGGGAACAGTTGCACGACAATTCCTCTCAACAGGGTTGGATGTAGTGACATCGTGACCGGGGGGCCCCTAGATACCTTCGCGCGGATCGAGCGATAGGGGCGACCCCACGGGTCGTTGTCAAGCTGACTTAACATCTCTTCCCTGCTCGCAGCTTTGGCCCGCCGGATCTCCGTCTGGAGGGTCTTTCGGGCGGTTTTAAGTGCCTCAGCCAGCTGTTCCTCGACTTCAGGCAATCGACCTAGCCTCCTTCGTCGGTAATTGGTTAGAGCCCTGCGTTTGTGAATGCAGACCCTGCGAAGGGCTGCAATTTCGGGGCTCCACCAGTAGACCTCCCTCCTAGGCGGGCGGTGAGTGACCCGAGGCATGGCTGCGTCACAAATGCGAGTTAGGGACGCTCTAAACCTCCCTGCCTCCTCGTCGACGTTCTGGACTGCAGGACTTCGGTCCCAGGATTCAATAATGGCCGCCTCAACCGCCAGATCCCTATGCAACCTACTCAAGCTCCACCGCGGGAAAAGGGATGTTCCACCACTCAAGTGGGCGCCATCCGGTACAGGATGTTCAGAGGAGACGCTGAAACGGATGTACCTGTGGTCGGATAGTGTCTCCTCGTCTACGATGACCTGCCAATCCCGAATTCGAGCCGCGAGAGCAGGGGTTGCAAACGATAAGTCTACAATGGACCCCCCCTGCTGCCGCACACAGGTGAGTTCGGTGCCACGGTTTAGCAAAGCCAGCCCGGCCGTAGCAGTTCACTCCTCAAGCAGGTCCCCTCGTCTATCTGTTGATGGGGAGCCCCATGCAATGGATTTAGCATTGAAGTCCCCCATCAAGATAATAGGATGAGCATGTGCCCGCCTGACTACCACCCTAACTCAACTTCCAGTTTGTAGCTGAATTGGTCATAGCATTGACCAAGTGTTCCAAGTGCAAGAATTCACACTTGTTTTTTTATCCGACTGCGAATGGTAATGATTTTCAAGCGTATGTAATATCAGGAAAGTTAGCCTCCCATTTTCTGTATTTTACTATTATCCAGGTTGTTATTATTTTATTCTATATTTGTTTTACAAGGTTTCAGTCTTTTTATGGAAAAATGAAAATTTGTAGCTGATTTTTGGAAAATTTAATATTTTGTTGGTTCCAAGCTCCATGTTGTTCTGGTTCTTCCTAAATTTAGTCCATTTTTTTTTTTAATAAATAACGATGAGGCAATTGACCTATCTATCCTTTGATTAAAACAAAAAGGGTAGATACGGCACTAGCCTCACAAAAGTCTTCTTCTTCCTCAACCACTATCCACCTACTGCTGAGTGAAGTCATCTGTCCACCGGGCTGGTTGACGCCCCACGTTTCTGCGTCCGGTTTTCGGCCTCCATTCCATTACCTTTCTGCTCCACCTGCCATACTCGCGTCTACAGACATGTCCCGCCCATTTCCATTTGCTGCGGGAAATTACACAAGCGATGTCAGGTAACTTTGTCGTTCTTCGAATGACCTGATTTCTGATTCGGTCTCTTCGAGAAATGCCCAACATCGCCCGCTCCACATCCCGCTGCGCAACTTGAAGTTGGTGTAAATGTTGCTTTGTGATGGTCCATGTTTCGGCACCATAAGTCATGACTGGAAGCACACATTGCTCATAGACACGGCGTTTGAGGTTTATTGGGATATTGCTCTTGAAAACATCGTTCAGTTTGCCAAACGCCGCCCATCCTAATTGTATACGACGTTGGATCTCGCGAACCTGTGTTTTCTTCCCTAGAGAAATTGTTTGGCCTAAATATTGTGTATTGGCCTATGTTGTCTATTCTACCATCATTCACAACTATATGATCTGTCTCGTTTGTCATTATTTTTGTTTTGGAGGTGTTCATCTTTAGTCCGACGCGGAGAGAAGCTGTGTATAAATCATTTAGCATTGTCTGCAGGTCCATGATATTTTCGGAGAATAAAACGATGTCGTCTGCAAATCTCAGGTGAGTGAGGCGTTCGCCATTGATGTTAATGCCCTTGTCATTCCAATCGAGAAGCTTGAATATATCCTCTAGGCAAGTCGTAAACAGCTTGGGCGATATCGTGTCTCCTTGTCTCACGCCTCGGTTAACTGGAATAAGTTTTGAAATATCGTGTAATTTGATTTGTAACGTGGCAGAGTTATATATTTCCTTGAGAACCTCCACATATCTGGAATCGACCAGTTGTCTTTGAAGCGACTGCCAGACCGCCCAGTGTTCTACAGTATTAAAGGCCTTTTCGTAGTCTACAAAGGCCAACGAAAGAGGCATATTGTACTCGTTGCATTTCTCCAGTACCTGTCTTACAGTAAAAATGTGGTCGCAAGTAGAAAAACCTTTGCAAAAACCTGCCTGTTCTACTGGTTGCATAGAGTCCAACTTATTAGTCAATCGTGTAGTGATGACCTTTGTAAATACCTTGTAAATGTGGCTTAGTAGGGATATAGGTCGGTAATTTTCAAGCATTGTGTGGTCGCCTTTCTTATGAATAAGGATCACAATAGCATTTTTCCAAGCATCAGGTGTAATGCCCCCGAAAAGTGCCTTATTAAAGAGGGTCTGAAGTTGTGTCAACATTGGTTTCCCGCCGTGTTTTAAGTACTCTGCCACTAT